GGACAATTCAATACTAGTTCATTAGGTACGTAAGTCAAAGGAAATTTAAATTTCCCAGCTGTTTTAAATGTAGTATTTTTGTTATTTTAAATTTCGGCTAAATCTTCCTACCATCGCCAGCGGCTGAAGGGATGATATAAATCCAGCTAGGGTCCATGCAGGTAGCAAAAGTAATGTAAGTCCCCATGGTCCCTAGTTTGGTGATCTACCTCCAGTTGTTGGCGGTCTATAGCCAGTTTTTATATTGTATTGTCCAAATAGTGCTATTAGTTTTATCTTTCCACACTAGTTTTAGTTGTAATTGTCATATTCTAGTTTGTTTTACTGTCCTTTGAAGACAGGTTTTTCTAATATACACATATTACATTTCAATGACAAATATGTACTCGTCACGATATGGCTGAAATATTGCCGATGTGACGTTAAATATTAACTCACTCACTCACTCACTTACTCACTAGTTCATTAGAGCGAGACATTGCGATTATGAACGCTCTACTTAAAACTATGAATACAATGTTATATGGATCCACGTTTTAACCATTGAAGTACTATGGTAAAAGGCCTCACCTATTTGGTGTGATCAATGATCCTGATGTGTACCCCATGCCTTAATGTCAATGGCAAGAAAGTTCACAAGTTCCAGTTACCAAATTTGGGATTTGAAATAACTCTATTAAGGTTTATTCATTCAAAGAACACATTGTACTGTGTAATTTACAAATTAAGACAACATTACTGTTAGTGCATTGTCGAGAGTTGGTTGAATGTGATCAGTATTGACAAACCTTATGGATAACAACTTCTTTTATTTTCACGAACTAAAAGACATTTACATATTGTATTCACAACATCTAAAATGCCATGCGACCAGTTTTTATTTTGCAATGATACATGTATATGCATTTTTGTAAAACATGTCTCAGAATTATCTTGTGTGATGTTTACTATTATTACTGGACAGTAATTACTTTATATTTCTTTTACTTTAAACAGGAAAAGCTCAAACTTGTTCGTTTATATCTTATATGGCAGTGGAATTAATTGCTGAACTGTGTTATAACTGTATTGCATTGTCACTGTTAAGATTTTAGCAGAGAGTAGTGGCGTGCAATTACTATATTTAGATAGTTTTGGTGTCAGTGTAATTTTGAATCTTCTGGAACAACAAGCGGAATCCAGCATAGTATGGAACATTTTGGAAGTTGTTTAAGACTGTATAAGAAAGGAAGCGCATACCACTATCATCTCACAGTGCATCAAGGCCAGTGGTGGTGTGAAGATGATACACACTAAATGTCCAGCTGAGGGTACTGTTAAGTCCCCATGGTCCCTAGTATGGTGATATACCTTCAGTCGTTGGCAAGCTATAGCCTAATTTTATATTATCTTGTCATCTATAGTTTTTATAATTTCCTTTTAATTATTATGAATCTATAACTTGATATAGTCACGGTATGGCTGAAATACTGCCAATGTGACGTAAACTCAATCACTCACTCCAGCTGAGGGAAATTAAATCAAATAAAATTAGGAAGTTTGACCACTGTTGGTGAATATTATTCTCACTTATGTTATGGTTATTTCCACTGCTATTATATTATATTTTGCCATGGTAATTGTACTACCACTGGGGTTTTGCTCACAAACCATTGTGTTCTGGTATATATACCTATACCGTTTTCAAGCTTGAAAAAGGTAAAAGTACCTTTACGAAACGTCGCCATTGTACAATAAAGAAGTTGATCATAAACACTTGTCATTCTTATTACTTACAACTTCTAGAATGCCTCTCAAACAGTTCATGCTGTTCTGCCATTGCATATTCTTTGCAGTAGTTTGTACTGATTTGTAAGCCTAGTTAATTAAACAATACAATTGTCTCTTTATTGTTTGTTTGGTTTCACACTGAATCATTTTGGTGCGTACATTCCTCTTGGAACAAACAGTTACAATATATACCCCTAACGACGTTATTACTATTGTCGGGGCGGTGGGGTAGCCTAGTGGTTAAAGCGTTGGCTCGTCAACGACCCGTTTCCCCACATTGTGTTAAGCCCATTTCTGGTGTCCCAGTATTACTATTGTCATGTAAACAATGAAAAACACTACATTAAAAGTGGAACATCGGTTTTGAATGTGATCAAATAATTGTTTAGGTGTAGTCAACGAGACATTTCATTCGGTAATCGATTTAAAAGATGTGTACAGAGAAGCATGGTCTTGCATAGAAAAGCATGGTCGCGACATTGGCCAAAATCGACAACAAAAAGCCTAACAATGGAATGGATGTGCCATCCCCGTACGTAGATCCAGAGAGGCGAATAATGCATTACCGCTCACGCATCCAATCCTCTTTTCAACTTTTTGCATGTTTGCATCACAAACATATATTATTAAAGGTATCTGCACGGTACTGCGTGATGCACCGATATTCCCAATGGAAGAACAGTAATAGCGGTTGAAAATACCGTGATACCTTTGCAATTACTCAACGTATTGTTTAACCATGTTTGAGTACTGAATATGTGACTTAACAGTAATAATAGCCGGTCTCCCAAAAGGCAGGTCAAAACAATAGTTACAGTGAATGAGTGAGTTTAGTTTTACGCCGCTTTTAGCAATATTCCAGCAATATCACGGCGGGGGACATTAGAAATTGCTCTACACATTGTACCCATGTGGGGAATCGAATCCACGTTGCCAGCGAACGCGTTAACCACTAGCCTACCCCACCGTTACTCAGACGTTACATCCTCGGCATAACTCAAGGATTTACTGGACAGAAATTGGTTCAGAATCCAGCCACACGGTACCTTCAGACATCAGACACGGCATCTTTGGCGATTCCGAAATTATGTTACATATGACAAAATGGTGAGATTCTGTGTGATATTACTTCGTGGGTCGACATAAAACCTTCACTTTTCGTTGCATTGATTCTTTCCAAATCAGAATACATTCAAGTGTTATTGCAGCAGAAATCACTATCTGAATGCAGGGTTTTGTTTGGCGTCGCTTTGACAGCCCACTTCCCCAGGCTAAACCGATTCCGACGTAGCAATTGTTTAAGTCTGACAAGTCTACAAATTAAGTTAGTGTAGGTGTTGACAGGAACAACTGCGTATGTTACATATGTATTGCGTTTTGACGTTTAACACTAGTTTATTTTCTAAAATATAATACTTGACATGATATGTGAACTTGATTCGGACGATCTATCTTCTAAGCTGAACAAAACAAACTGTCCATTTACTTATTATCTTTCCCAAAACGATACTTATGACCCACGACATATCGATCAAGCTATTTATCATCTTCAAAATTACAACAGAAGGTTAACGTTTGGCATTACGGCACCAGAACAACCCATCAGCAGTCTGAGATGTTGTTGATATAGGAAAATATGCGCCGATTATGAGCTGGAAACGTGACCGATAAGAATGCTGCTTGTCACGTGGTCGTACTGGAGTCGTAGTCTCTGGTCACGTTGTGCATGCAAGTTCATCACTGTAACTTACTGTCACGAATATCAGTGTCTGTAACTCCTCGTCTGCAATTTCTGTAACACGCTATCAACAGTTTCTGCAACTCGCTGTCCCTAGTATGGTGATCTACCTTCAGTTGTTGGCGATCTATAGCCAGTTTTTATATTGTATTGTCCAAGTAGTGCTATTAGTTTTAACTTTCCACACTAGTTTTAGTTGTAATTGTGATATTCTAGTTGTTTTGCTGTCCTTCGTAGACAGGTTTTATCATATACATATATTCCATTTCAATGTCAAATATGTTCTCGTCACGATATGGCTGAGATATTGCCGATGTGACGTTAAATATTAACTCACTCACTCACTCACTGTAACTCACTATCAACAGTTTCTGTAACTCACTATCAGCAGTGTCTATAAATCGCTATCAGCAGTTTCTGTAACTCGCTATCAGCAGTTTCTGTAACTCGCTATCAGCAGTTTCTGTAACTCGCTATCAGCAGTTTCTGTAACTCGCTATCAACAGTTTCTATAACTCGCTACCAGCAACTTCCTGCGTTAAGTAACCGGCTGAAGAATACGGCGTTCCCAGGGGTTAAATGTCTCTAATATTGTTCTTCTGCAGAGTAGAATATGTATCAACAAAGCACACTTTACCAAACGTCTAGGTGGGCTCAGTACGAAGTCTGTATCTAGTTTGATCATGTTCATCAAACACATGCTGCAGCACAAGGTCAGACAACGATTCTGGGCCTAGATTTTCGAAGCTCTCTTAGCGTTACGATAGTCGTATGTACCATCCATTAACATTAACTTACTACTATCTTAGCACTAAGATAGCTTCGAAAATCTAGGCCCTGGTTAGTAGAAAAAAACGCTGGAAAGGATTATTCAGAAAATACGTTTCATTGAATACGATGACCTCTTTCGAGAAACGAATCCGCTTCGTTCATCAGATTTACAGGTATCATTCAAGCAAAACACATTGTTCTCTCTGAAATTGCAATGCAATTGTTTTTGGCATTGTATTAATTGTATGGTTTCACTGACAACATACAAGTCATCCATCACCCATTCTGCGTCCTGCAGTTAAAGCTTACGTAAATATTTGGTGTTGTTGGGATACCGTTTCCGTTAAGCAAATTGAATATATGTAAATGCAGACGCTTTGGTGATATTAACATCAGTGTCATCCATCAAGTAAGATATTCTTAATCTTCTGTGTGACAAATGACGGACAGATTGAACAGCAAGATGCAATATGTATCAAGTAAAAGATATCATAGTCTGATTAATTTCCTGCCGGTGGTGACTGGGGATCAGAAATTGTTGTGCCAGACACCTCGTTCACGAGCACACGTCAAACAGCAATTCTCATGAGCATTCATCACTCCAGTTAATCCGAGCATCTACAGCACTGTTGTGTAGTGTAATATCGTTACTTTAGTGTACAGATCTGAAACGACTGACGTGATCACTAAGTGTATATGGAATGGTATACTGTGTATACTGTCACAACCACTTGATGAAGTAGCGCATTAGGATGGCAGACATTGGTGCGATGATGCACGGGGAGGTCACTATTGTAGCTTGGTGCCGAAGTGCGGAGGGCGATACGTGTTTCCTGGTGTAGTATACGTAGGGTGCTGGGATGATGCATGTTTCCTGGCGTTGTAGGGTGCTTGGGATGACACATGGTTCCTGCTGTTGTAGGGTGCTTGGGATGATACCTGTCTCCTGCTGTTGTAGGGTGCATGGGATGATACCTGTCTCCTGCTGTTGTAGGGTGCATGGGATGATACCTGTCTCCTGCTGTTGTAGGGTGCATGGGATGATACCTGTCTCCTGCTGTTGTAGGGTGCTTGGGATGATACCTGTCTCCTGCTGTTGTAGGGTGCATGGGATGATACCTGTGTCTCCTGCTGTTGTAGGTCTCCTGCTGTTGTAGGGTGCTTGGATACCTGTCTCCTGCTGTTGTTGTAGGGTGCATGGGATGATACATGTCTCCTGGGATGATACATGTCTCCTGCTGTTGTAGGGTGCTTGGGATGATACCTGTCTCCTGCTGTTGTAGGTAGCTTGGGATGATACCTGTCTCCTGCTGTTGTAGGGCGCTTGGGATGATACATGTCTCCTGCTGTTGTAGGGTGCTTGGATAATACCTGTCTCCTGCTGTTGTAGGGTGCATGGGATGATACATGTCTCCTGCTGTTGTGTCTCAGTCTCCTGCTGTTGTAGGGTGCTTGGGATGATACCTGTCTCCTGCTTGGGATGATACCTGTCTCCTGCTGTTGTAGGGTGCTTGGGATGATACCTGTCTCCTGCTGTTGTAGGGTGCTTGGGATGATACTTGTCTCCTGCATGTCTCCTGCTGTTGTAGGGTGCTTGGGATGATACCTGTCTCCTGCTGTTGTAGGGTGCTTGGGATGATACCTGTCTCCTGCTGTTGTAGGGTGCTTGGGATGATACGTGTCTCCTGCTGTTGTAGGGTGCATGGGATGGGTGCATGGGATGATACTGCTGTGCTTGGGATGATACCTGTCTCTGCTGTGTAGGGTGCTTGGGATGATACATGTCTCCTGCTGTTGTAGGGTGCTTGGATAATACCTTCCCCTGTTGTTGTAGGGTGCTTGGGATGATACCTGTCTCCTGCTGTTGTAGGGTGCTTGGGATGATACCTGTCTCCTGCTGTTGTAGGGTGCTTGGGATGATACCTGTCTCCTGCTGTTGTAGGGTGCTTGGGATGATACCTGTCTCCTGCTGTTGTAGGGTGCTTGGGATGATACCTGTCTCCTGCTGTTGTAGGGTGCTTGGGATGATACCTGTCTCCTGCTGTTGTAGGATGTGTCTTGCTGTTGTAGGGTGCTTGGGATGATTCGTGTCTCCTGCTGTTGTAGGGTGCACGGGATGATACCTGTCTCCTGCTGTTGTAGGGTGCTTGGGATGATACATGTCTCCTGCTGTTGTAGGGTTCTTGGGATGATACCTGTCTCCTGCTGTTGTAGGGTGCATGGGATGATACCTGTCTCCTGCTGTTGTAGGGTGCTTGGGATGATACCTGTCTCCTGCTGTTGTAGGGTGCTTGGGATGATACGTGTCTCCTGCTGTTGTAGGGTGCTTGGGATGATACGTGTCTCCTGCTGTTGTAGGGTGCTTGGGATGATACATGTGTCCTGCTGTTGTAGGGTGCTTGGGATGATACCTGTCTCCTGCTGTTGTAGGGTGCTTGGGATGATACCTGTCTCCTGCTGTCGTATGGTGCATGGCATGATAAATGTCTCCTGCTGTTGTAGGGTGCATGGGATGATACGTGTCTCCTGCTGTTGTAGGGTGCTTGGTATGATACCTTTCTGGTTCTAGTGCTGTACAGTTCGTGGATGGCACATGTTTCCAATTATGTTTTAGGATGACAGGTGTGTCCTGGCGAAGCAGTGTAGACGACCTGTGGCAACACAAGTTTTGTTCTATCGTCAACGCTTACGATAAGGAAATAAAGTAGTTAAGGCACTGTTAAACTATGTATTTTACCGCCATCTAGTTAGATAATGCATTGTCAATGACTATGTCAAATGGCAATGATGATACCAAACTTCTGTTATTTCTATAACGTTAAAGTAAAGCAGCGTAAAGCCCAACTCACTCGATGGCCTCAATAAGCCAGTCAGTATAATATGAAGCATGGGATACACACTCATTAATAGGTGGCGACATGACATCACACCAAAACAGTGTCGTGCCCCACAGAAGATGGTTGAAGAAGACAACATCCATCAGAACGGATCCTTCAGGTTTCATGCTGAGAAAACCAGTGGAACCAGTAAACTTACTTCAGTAGTTTGGCTGTTCTTTAACTCGTCCAGATTGTTGCTACTATGACAGGACCAGACAATCTACTGATCGACATCCATCCATTGATTATCCATCTACGTAGTTGGAATACGATGTCATTGTCCAACAAATCAGAACTGACCATCCGATCCCGTTAGTGGCAATCACGACAAAATGGACTTTCCTCACGACTAATTCTAAACCGGTTCTCACCGTCACACTATAGATAGACGAATTAGTATGGATTATATTGGTACAGCCATGTTGATTTTAGATTACCGTCTGTGAGTATTTGGCATAAATGTGTAATGAAGTCTAATTCTTGATCAAATACGTGCAATCTACACTTGAAGCACTGAACAATTTGAAGGTGATTGGTGTCGCGTCTGCTCTTTATCCTCGATAGCAGCTGAGTGTGTTTCCAACTCATTTCGGATGTCTCCAGCATTCACTTTGTTATCTCAAACGTCACCCCTTGTCAGGTAGACCTTCCTACATACCAATGGTAATCTATACCATTAAGTAAGTAGGGAAGGGGAGTTGATATGCGATAAACAGGTGTAAAAACTGTTGATATTTAGTGAAATAATTAGCTTATCAATGTAACAGACATCTGACTGAGATTTGTATTCCTCGTGAATGTCAGATAACCATCACGATATTTACCATGAAGAGTCAAACTGATATTGCATGAATCCGCCTCTGTTCTCCAGACAATGGCAGACACGACGAGGCATAAGCCTAACCAAAGGTCCAAAGTCAACTTGGTTCATTCCATTCCATTCTTCCTACAGGGCAACGCAAAGTTCATTGAGAATGATTGGTGGTTGTTGACGGTCCAAGGATAGCCCAGACATGTGGGTGACAAGTCTGAACTGAATATTGGCCATCCAAAGGTGGTTATGTTGGAGGTAGTCAGTAACAATATGTGGCTCTAACACCTGTAGCTCTGTAAAACTCATCTCCAATATGAAAGCAACTTTGACAAGGGTTTCGTATCACACTCGTTCCGATGAAATAGTCTTATGCGCCAGTTGTCGCCCATGGTCGACCGGATCAACGTCTGTCATCAACGTTATTTGCCTTTCGACATCGTGATTGTACTCCAGTAATTACTGACTGTGAAGGGGCGGTGGGGTAGCCTGGTGGTTAAAGCGTTAGCTCGTCACGCTGAAGACCCGGGTTCGAATCCCCACATAGGTACTACGTGTGAAGCTCATTTCTGGTGTCCCCCGCCGTGGTGTTGCTGGAATATTGCTAAAAGCTGCGTAAAATTAACTCACTCACTCACTCACTGACTGTGATACTTTAGGAGCTAGTGCCACAAGGATCTGTCTTCCAACATGCCAAATTCACGTAGCTGTTCCTGACGTGACAGAAGCCGCATGTCAAAATCCATTTAATTGACATTAAAACAATATCAACTTTCGGTCTGTTTCTTCTTCACTACAATATGTAACACACTGACACGTTTCACTGTACTTTTTTAATTTTACCCAGATCATGTTCACCTGACCATCACGAAAACTTGTTTGCACGAAATTCATGACAAGTTGTGAAGGAAATCATTATTTAATGAACCCATATGCAGTTATATAACTTGGTTCTCAAAAATAGTATCCCCACAGAGGAAATCCCCTACTTTTGTAATAGTGTAAATGTGGAAAGATTAATATTTCATTACGGTCTACATTTCAGGTATTATATAACAGATCCATGGTTCTAGGAACGAATACGCGCATACGGTCTCACTAGTCTGTTGTTTAACTTTGTATGAGTAGGTAAGTTGCATAATGTTAACAGAGTGTGTTTTTTGCCACACGGCCTTTTTTTCTTTCATCATCATAATAACATTTACTTTGAACATATTGTATTCAGTATTTAAAAGGGATGGGGCACAAGTTGTTTAACTTATTTAAGCCCGCTCCCGACAATTATATAGAAAAAAACAGGGACAATGAACAGAGGCAAGACATATTACACATTAATTGATACGCTTACTATGTACAATGAATTCATGGACTTGACTGATGTCCCATAAGTACATTCTGACATTAAACTGGCAAAAACCACTCCGGTCACAATAAGTAGTCACGCTGATCTGGTTTGTTGCACACAGTTTCGTAAGTCTTGCGAACCTGTCTTGTTTCACTAGTATCACACATCGTAGTCTCACTTGTGGCCCGTAAAGATCCGGGTTAAAATTGGTCTTCAGCAAATAATGCTTGGGTGACTAACGGGATCCGGTGGTCCGGCTCGCTGACTTGGTTGACAAATGTCATCGTATCCCCATTGCGTAGATGGATAATCATGGTGTCAATCACTGGAATGTCTGGTCCATATTTGTGTTAGTTAGTATTTATATACTGCCGTCATAGAGCTGGAATATCGCTGAGACAAAACACACAGCAATGACCCATCTCACTCGTCTCACAAATACTGCAATTCGTCCTCACACAGACCCTTTCTTCTCACTAAAACTAGCCTCGGTCGTGCTCTTACATGCCTCGCATGTCGTTTCATCAGACCGACTACACCGAGACATAGTACTAGCTATATCAGTAAAGCACTTGTCTCACCATCTATACGCTCACTGGTACCAAAGTTTCGCTAATCAAACATAACTGCGCATAGTTTCACTAACAATGGTCGAACTAGTGACGTAGATTGTCTGATAGATCTCACTTGTCATTCTAGTCTCGGTAGTCTCACCAGTGGTGGTCATTCCATGTGGAGTTCCACCAGCAGCGCTCGTATACGCGGGAGCCCTAATAGCGTCAAAGGACCCCTTTAGTAAGCCTCATTTGTCCCCTGTTACGTCTGACTGGTCCCAATTTTCGTAACACTTGTCCATAAAGCGTTTGAGCAGCTTTGTATTACGATTGAACAATCTTGTTCCGCATGTCACTAGTCTCGACTAACTAGTTTGTCCAGAAACTCACTAGCTGCGTTAAGCCTCAGATGAGTCAAACCTTCAGCAACTCACTAGTCTCGTTCAGCAACTCACCAGTCACCCGTGAAGATCCGGATTAGAATAGGCCTTCAGCAACCTATGCTTGTTGGGATCGGGTGATCAGGCACATGTCATCGTTTCCCGATTGATTAGATCGATGCTCATGATGTCAATCACTGGATTGTCTGGTCCAGGCTCGAGTATTTACACACAACGCCATACAGCTGGAATATTTCTGAGTGCGGCGTTAAACTACAAAAAAAAATACCCCAAAACCAAGCTCAAAACCAATAGTCAGCACCTCACTGGTCTTGTTCAGCGACTCACTAGTCACGTTCAGCGACTCACTAATCTTGTTCAGCATTTGGATAATCTGTCACGTGATTAAAGTTCAAAGACTCAACTTCTTGGCAACTCACACAGTGTGCTTTAAGCACACACGTACAAAGTGCAAAGAGTGAAAATCAATAAGACGAACGATCCTGGAATATACTCGCTAATTATTCCTCGGGCAGGTATACGGTATATTTTCAGTAACAGATCGGGTAAAACAACGACTTCGTATTTTCTAAAAACAGTTTTACCTGATGCATTTGTATTAATACAGTCACATTACCTGTATTAAGTGTGTCTAAGCTTGCGGATGGCGTACATCCTCGCCGCCGCCTATCATGGTCCCCAGCTCACCAAGGCGACAAGGATCGCCTGGAACCATGGATGTCTATGAATGAGCAGGCCGCCAGCAGCACGAACTCATTGATTATTAATGTACCTTGACTAAGAGGCTTGCAATAATGAAGCAAACTCATTGTCCATCCCAAATATCAGCCCAGCAGCGTGTTGGAATGGACATTGTATATTTTCTGATCCAGGCAAGATATCCATTGATGCCGTTGGAATACACCGTGGTCTTTGTGTATACACACTGAGCAACATAAAGGCAAGGATGTCCGCGATGATCAGGCGAGACCAATAGCATATCTCTAAGCGCAGAACATGCTATATAGTGTATTAAGTCCACAGATAAAGTGTGCAATGCCATACATTATTACAGATGTGATTTTTTGTAAAAATACATGAGACATAACCACCTCGGCGTATGCAGGTGCATTCATAAATATAATCATGTAAGGTACCAAGTTTTCTGTTTGCAACTGAATCATACAAATCTGATATGTGCGTTTAGGTTTAATGTCATATAAACTATTGATCCCTGTTGGTGGATGGGTGTGTCATGTAAGAAAAGAGTCATCGAAAAAGGGATGACAAGGCAAAACCTATCACAAGTCAGCCTATAGGAGTGAGGGGCATGAAAAACAAGACTGTTTCCAATGGAGAAGTTATGGACTGGTAATTTATACTCCCCAGGGAGTTGAGATTGATAATACGATGTGCCATTGAGATTGACATCCAATGATCGAGGGAAAAATATCAGCCCCTTGAGCAAGCACTAGTTGCCTGGATATGTGCGCTATAAAAGTAT